CCAAGCAAATGCTTGCCCAGGGTCCAATCAATATTAAAGACGGCCCTGACATACATACATACATACATAAAGAGACACACACACACATACCGAGAAACAAACAAATGCAGAGACACACACACACACACAAACAGATACACACATACAGAGAGACACACACAAACACATACAGAGATACACACATACATTAAGACACACGTGCAAAATGGTTTAGTCACCCTCCTGTTTCCTACCTTTTAGGTGCATGAGGGTGACTTCCCTGGTATCCAGTGGCTCAAGCTGATGGGAGTCAGTGTTCCCACTTTGACTCCCTCCTCTCTTCCTCCCGCACGGGCTCTGTGTAAGCTGTCCCTTTCTCTCAGCATCTGACTTCATCACAGGGGGTCCGGTTGCGCTGTTAAAGCACCGCAGCGCTGACCGGGCCCCCTGAAAATACATAGCATCGGGTGGGCAATGCTGTTAGGGTTGGCCTAAACGTGCGGCCCTGGCGGTTCTACTGCGCCGGCCGGAACACATGGCCGGCTAGGCACCGCGGTCACATGGGTCCACAGGGCGGCAGGGTGATGGGCAGGGTCGCAGCTGCGACACCTGTGACTGTGGTAGTTCTGCCACTGGTGTCAGGAATACATGTATGTGTTCCTGACTCTATAGTGTTCCTTTAACATAACAAAAGGCAGAAAAAGTAAAAACAGTGCTGACTATTACATACCTCCCAACATTTCAGGGATACTTTAAATTTTGTAGGGTGTGGTCAGGGGGCTGTTATGAGAAATTTCAGCTGACTTACTAGTACCAGTTTATGCAAGTAAAATGTAATTTAGATCAAGATAAATGTATATCTTATTTACACATACTGATTTCTAAACACATTTATTGGAATTTAAAGATACATTACTTTGAGTATTACTGCTGTGGACCTCTATAATACACTAGTATACACCAATAATATGGTGCTTCAGAAAAGAGGGACACTAGGAAAGAAAAGATTGACAAAAAAAAATGTAGGTCCAAAATAAGGACTGCCCCTCCTAAATAGGGACACTTGGGAGGTATGAATTAAGGTAGAGGAAGGGTTATAGTCAGTTGTGTACCTACCACATTCAAAGGGCTCAATGCATGGAGAGGTTGTAGGGGAGGGAATGGGACACACAGAGGAGCTGAGGGAAAGGAAATGAGACACATGGAGGGGCTTTGGGGGAAGAGGAAATGAGACACATATAGGGGCTTGGGGGGGGGGCATTAAACACATGGAGGCAGTGGCATACACACAATCCATGGGGCCCCTCTCCCCTCCACCTTTACCCTCTCCCCCCTGACCGTGGGCCCCCCCCCGACACATACATACAGACACAAAGACCCCCCCCGACAGACACATACATACATACAGAGACACAGACACACACACAGAGACACACACACATACATACACACATACAGAGACACAGGCACACAGACACACACAAACATACAGATACACCCTGGGGTCCAGTGGTGGCTCAGCCTGATGGGAGCCACTCTGACTCCCTCCTCCTGCGCGGGCTCTATGTATGCTGGCAGGAGTGACCGGGGAGTCACTGCTGTTAAAGCGCCCAGCGCTGACCGGGCCCCATGACAATCCATATCCATCGGGTGGCCCTGACAGCATGGGCCACCCAATGGACCTCTTAACAGGCGGCCCCAGCAGCAGGGGTCCACAGGGCAGCCAGCCCACTGGAGTGACGGGCTTGGTCGCAGCTGCGACCCCTGCGACCGCAGTATTTACACCACTGCATGGAGGGGCTGCGGGTAGGGAATGAGACACATGGAGAGGCTGGGGGCAAGAGAATAAGACACATGGAGGGCCAGGGGAGAAATAAGACACATGATGGACTTAAGGGGAGGGGAAAAAAAGTTTTACAAAACTAAATGTTACAAGAACTAAAATCTTGGAAAGGAGTAATACAGCAAGGTAAAGGTCAATAATAGGTATTTCTGCTTTTTAGCAGTACTACAGTTTGTGAAATTGTTAACTACATAAAGCACTGGCTAATAATAAGTTAGCTGGCATTTTAGCAGGTGCAGAGGCAGGGTAAAGGTTTAACAGCTCAGTGGGAAGTTTTAAAAAGCGTTTTGGATTGACCCCTCCCGCTTGCCTTACTCGGCTTCACGGTTGCCAGGATACAGAACTTGCAGGTGTTGTGTGAATGATTGAAAGAAGGGTTCCTGGTAATAACAAGGTAGGAGAGAAGTAATAAATGAATGCTGTGCGATTATTACACTCATTGCAATGGTGAGGCTTCTAATAATAGCACATCTACTTAAACCGTGTTAATAATGTTCATGGTGTGTTTATATCTGATCTAAATGCTTGGCAGAATCGTAAGTGTAAAAGTGAGAGGCTGTACCACTTGCAATTGGAACGTCTGCCATGTAGTTCTGAGTTCTAATACATACTTCAAAATAACAAGAAGTAAAAATGTTTTGTTAATGTAGGGCATGAATCAAACAGTAATTTCATTTTACAGACAAATGAAAAACAAAAGGGATAATAAATATGTAATTCATAAAAAGTAATGCAATGTGCTTATTATGACAAATCTAACAGAAATTGGGCTGGTGCCTTATATAAATGACATTTGATATCACAACATTTAGAACACTTGCTGCATTGTGATACATTTTGAGACTGAAAAATATAAAGATATGAAAAGAAAAACAAACTGTCCAGGACAGTTGTTAATGCAACTCATCTCCCAGTCTCCCAGTAACCAACTTCATGCTAATGATTTGCATTAACAATTAAACAGCTGTCCATGAGAGTGTTTCAAAGCTGTTGTATACAGAGCAGACACACACTTCTGTGGGAAAAGTACCTGGGGTACTGTGTGTGTGTGTGTGTGTGTGTGTGTATATACACACACACACACACACACACACACACACACAGTGGGACCTTGGTTTACGAATTTAATGCGTTCTCTGGGACGTTTCTTATTGCTAACATTTGTAAACCGAGACACGGTTTCTCATAGGAATGCATTGAAAACCAATTAATCTGTTCTTGAGGTCAGAAAAATATAAAAATGAGCTGGCATGGAAACCAACCCACAATGCAGAACACACAGCTTGAGAAATGCACCAAAAAGTCCCAAAACAACTGCAAACAATTTCCAGAATGGCTCCAAAACTCGATGCAAAAGTCGCCCCAACACCTCCACACTCAACGCCACGTGCTACCCACAGGCTCCAGCATGCAGAGGGCGGTGCTATAAACCTCCCAGATGCAATGCTTCCTGGGGAAAATTGCTTTGTATTGCAAAACAAAAATGTAAACCAAGGCATTATTTTCAATAGATTTTCATTTGTAAACCGAAAATTATGTTAACCGAGGCGATTGTAAAAGGTCCCACTGTTTGTGTGTGTGTGTGTGTGTATATATTGTAACGGATCGCCTGGCACCCCGACTGGGTACCTCCGTTAAAGGATGCTCCTAGCGCTTCCTGAGGACTCCAAGCACTGCAGCAGACACCAAAACCACCGAACTGGAGAAACAAATAAATTCTCCCAAGCATATGAATGCTGTAGACAGTTGAATAGGAACCATACGAATAGGTTTACTCTCCTAGCAGTCAAACTGGAACAGCATACAATAAATCCTTCCCCAATAATGAGACGACACTTCACTTTGAGGGTTAAGCAGGAACTCTCTGTACTGTCACATACAGTCTCTTTTATTCCCAATCCACAAACATAGTACAGCCCACAGGGCGTTACAAAACAACCAATCACATCACAGTTACATCCCACATATTCCCTCCCCTTATCCTGAGAGGAAACTCAATTATACATACAGTTAAAACATACTTTCTACCCAACTTTCACAACTCCAAAACCATACATCACATTCACATAAAATTACATATTCACAATCAATCCATTCAGGGGAACAACATATTCAAAAATGGCACAAATCAGACAAGGGGTTCAAAAGTTAGTAGAAAGTCCTTTGTGACTAAATGAAGCATGGCTTTCTGGCCCAAACCAGTTTCAGAGTCTTCTATCCTGGAGATAAGTAATTCAATTATCTCCCAGGACAGACACAAGACTCCATTAAGCACATGGTTGCAAAAGACACAAAACACTTTAAAATACATAGAGTCACATTTTACACATAACACACAGACATTTCACATATCCCCAGATAGCTCAGGTCTGAGCGCACATTATTAAGTGAATGGCGCTCGGACCACACAAATACAGTTTAATCGCCATGGAGCCAAAGTCTTTACAGTCAGTTTCATACGAATGGGCTCCATGGGATTCCTATCTGGGGTATAACACATTCACACAAGGTCTGGTCCATAGTCCAAAGGCAAGAGGCGGGCAAGCAGCCCCCTCCAAGGACACGTGGCGAGGCCGGTTTCGCCACATATCTCCCCTTTACCATCCAAACTAACAGGGTATCTGACCTCCTGCCGGTCAGTGCCCTGGTTAGTCCAGCAACCCACCCACGAAGGACAAGCAGCAATACAGCCCACCCACAATAACTGGTTACTACACCTGGATAAAATAGCAACTTGTCCATGTCCAGGTGCCTCACCACAGCTGTGCGGGGGGCTGGTAGACTGCCTTGGTGGGTTGCTGAGTGGGCAGAGACCAGCGGTACTCTGCCCGGGTGCCAGCGCTACCACTGAAGTAGCCTGGTTGGAGCCTGGTTGGGGGAGGGGGAGACCGACTGTCTCCCCTCTGGATACACTGCTCTGTGGCTGGGGGACAGGACCGACCGTCCCTACCCCTGGTGCTGCAAGTGCAGAGACTACAGTCCCATCTGCATAGTTGTGGGGCTTAACATCTCCCCTTGGTGGGTTAGGCTGCCGCTGGGGAGAGGGGGTAACCTGCTCCTCTCCCTGACACTCTCTTTGCTGGTGGAGAGGGGGACCAACTGTCTCCCCTTTCAATATTTTGTCCTGCGGCTGGGGTGCGAGACGGACGGTCTCTGCTTCCTGGGGTACACACTGCCGCTGGGGAGGAAGGACGGCACCTTCAGCTCCCTGGGGTACACACTGCCGCTGGGGAGGAAGGACGGCACCTTCAGCTCCCTGGGGTACACACTGCCGTTGGGGAGGAAGGACGCCACCTTCTGCTCCCTGGGTACACACTGCCGCTGGGGAGGAAGGACGACCCCTTCGGCTCCCTGGGACTCACACTGCCGCTGGAGATCTGGGCCGACCGCCCAGCATCCCTGTAGGGCCGGTAGAGAGACCGCCGTCCCATCTCCATCTGCCATCTGTGGGTCTTCCCAGGACCAGTCTGTGAGGTCCCTCAACATTTGCGAGTAAGGACCACCTGCTTCCGCACCTGGCAACTCCGGCTGCTGCTGGGGATCTGGGCCGGTCCCATCTCCACCTGCCTGTTGTGGTTCCCCACAGGACCAGTCTATGAGGACCCCTACTTCGGGTTCCTGCGGCCGCCTCAGGGGGAGACTGCTAGCCTCCTGGGATGCAGCCTCTACTCGGCTGCTGTAACACTCCTTCCGCTGAGCATACTCTCTCTCTTTCGCCAGACGGAATTCTCGGGCCAGCCTTGTGTTTCGCTCGGCCGTGACCTGGTTCCAGATCACCCGGCGTACCTCCATGGGTAAATCATCCCCATACTGGGCCACTCGCTGCCTCACCTCGGCCATCCAATCATCACCAGAGCATTCCATACTTGTCTGCTCCAAGTAGCTGGATACCTCTGCTCCCAGGGGCGCTGCACGTGTGCTAGCGTTGCCCTCAATTTGTAACTCCAAACGAACTGTGTCTCTGAGCTGCTTACCTCGCACTAGGAAGCCATCCCACCGCTTGCCACCAATGTAACGGATCACCTGGCACCCCGACTGGGTACCTCCGTTGAAAGATGCTCCTAGCGCTTCCTGAGGACTCCAAGCACTGCAGCAGACACCACAATCACCGAACCAGAGAAGCGTATACCTTCTCTCAAGCATATGAATGCTGTAGACAGTTGAATAGGAACCATACGAATAGGTTTACTCTCCTAGCAGTCAAACTGGAACAGCATACAATAAATCCTTCCCCAATAATGAGACGACACTTCACTTTGAGGGTTAAAACAGGAACTCCAGTGCTGGCACACCCAGCCTGGTTTTTATTACAATCCACAAAACATAGTACTGCCCACAGGGTTTTGCAGAACCACCAATAAACACATTACAACACATACAATGCAAGTACAGCAGCCAATCAGACACAATGGGACAAAAGAAACACACCCAGCATATTCCTCCCCTCTGCTTAGGAGATAATTGAGTCAATTACTGTATCTACTCAATTATCTCCAAGCTGAAAAGTTACTTTTTGTACATTTTTATAACTTTGTGAGTTAACATCGTACATACATAAAACTTACATTTTCATAATCAATCCATTCAGGGGAACAACATATTAAAAAATGGCACGAATCAGACCAGGGGTTCAAAAGTTAAGGGAAAGTCCTTTGTGACTAAATGAAGCATGGCTTTCTGGCCCAAACCAGTGTCAGAGTCTTCTATCCTGGAGAGTAATTCAATTATCTCCCAGGACAGACACAAGACTCCATTAAGCACATGGTTGCAAAAAGACACAAAACACTTTAAAATACATAAAGTAACCTTTTCACATAACACACAGACATTTCACATATCCCCAGATAGCTGGGATCTGAGCGCACAAAACTACTGAAGAGCGCTCAGATCCTATTCACACAGTTCAATTGCTATGGAGCCGAAGTCTTTAACTACACAAATGGGCTCCATGGCATAGCTATCTGGGTTAACACATTCTCATAAAGTCTGGTCCATAGTCCAAAGGCAAGAGGCGGGCAAGCAGCCCCCTCCAAGGACACGTGGCGAGGCCGGTTTCGCCACAGTCATAGATGAACTCCTGTTCTCAGTGTGACATGAACAGGTTTGCATAGCTGGGAGCAAATCTCGTACCCATCGCCGTTCCACATGTTTGCAAATAAAATTGGTCACCAAACCAAAAATAATTATTCATTAGGATCCACTCGATCCCTTCAACAATGAAATAAACCTGGTTTTTGGAAAATTTATCAGAATGTTCTAGAAAATATCTAGTTGCTCTACATCCCTGGGTATGGGAGATGATCGTATACAGAGAATTTACATCTGATGTCACAAGATAGTAATGTTGGATAATCTGTAGAATATTGATGGTATCTTTTAAATAGCTGGGGCAGGTATTAAATATCAGTTGCAAGCATTTGTCAATATACTGTGACAACCTGCTTGAAATGGATCCTATCCCCGAAACTATAGGTCTGCCGGGTGGTTTATCCTTATTTTTATGGATCTTGGGGAGGTAATAGAAGACTGGGATTATGGGATGTTGTATATTCAAAAATTTATACTCCCTTGAATTTAAAACTTCATTCCTTTTACCTCTCTCAATTAACTCCCAATATGTGTTCCTAATCTCATTTGTGGGGTCTTTCTTAAGGATTCGGTAGGTTTGTTGGTCACTCAATAATCTACCAATTTCCTGTGTGTAGTCATCCACATCCAAAATGACTATCCCCCCGCCCTTGTCGGCTGGTTTAATCACAATTGTTTCGTCCTCTTAATTGTTTAAGGGCTTGTCTTTCCTTTAAATTCAAGTTATGTACATTTGACTTAGGTTTCTTTATTTTATTTACATCATCCATCACCATTTTTTCGAAGGTCGTCATCCGGTGACCATCAAGAAGACCACTGGAAAATCATCCTTTTTCAATGAGACCAATGGATTCTATGGGTGTGGCTCATGTGGAGCTTGTAAAAACACACAAAGTTCAAAAAGAGTAATCAAGGAGTTTAACCATCCTAGAGATGACAGTAAGAGATTTAGGATTAAACAATTAATCACCTGTCACTCCACAAGGGTAATATATAAAATTACATGCCCATGTAAAC